TTAACCAGGAGAGCCATTCATATTCCCCTACAAAAAGAGATGTCTTAGCTAAGTGATTCAGGACATATTTATCACTTTGGAACCAAACCCCAGGAAAAGTCAGCACCTCATGAGAGAAAGGGAAATATTGGAAAGGTGAAAGGGAATTATAGACATCAGGAGCAGGAGTAGATTATTTGCCTCTTTAAACCTAGTCTGCCATTCAATAGTATCATGTCTGATCTTGTATCTCATTGCTATGTTCCCAGTTTCTCCCCATACTCTGTATTACCTGGACTAAATAGCCACAGTCATCATGCTGTTGTTGAGGACGTGCCTGCATGTGACCATTAGAGCCCTTAAGGTGGACCTACATGTCCTAATGTGCCTGATTCCACTTCGTAAATCAATCTGCCACTGTATCATTATTCCAGGGACTCTGCAAATCATCACATTGCCTTCCATGCCACTGATTTTCTTTGAGGCAGGCAGATGCTCTGCCTTACAACATAGAGTGGAAGCTCTTGGTATTTTAACTCTTGTCCTTGGCGTGTTTGGTCCTCAATTGATTCATAGAATTTTCACCATCTCCGTGTTGGCACTGTGCTGGGAATGCAGCAGACAGACTGTGAATTTTCGGCTTCATTTGATTTAAAGTTTTGGTTTATGTTTTGAGCTGGATAAAATGAAGCCTTAAACTACGTTACAAACATGGAGGCTGGACAAAGCCAAGTGGTTTCATCAAACGTATCATACACACCCACCTTCACTTGTGGGATGTGAGTGTCACTGACTGGGCCAGCATTTATTGCCCGTCCCTAGTTGCACCTTCTGGAGCCGCTGCAGTCACATGCTGTAGGTAAACACACAATGTCATTAGGGAGGGAATTCCAGGATTTTGACCCAGCAATAGTGAAGGAATGGTGATATATTTCCAAATCAGGATGGCAAGCAGCTTGGAGGGGAACTTGCAGGTGATGGTGTTCTCCTGTATTTGCTGCCCTTGTCTTTCTAGATGGAAGTAGTTATGAGTTTGGAAGGTGCTGACAAAGAATCTTAGTAGTTGGTGCAAATTACCGCTTCTCAGTGTTGGGGGTGAAGTGACTGAATGTTTATAGATGTGGTGCCAATCAAGCGGGCTGCTTTGCCCTGGATGTTATCAAGCTTCTTGAGCGTTATCAGAGCTGCACCCATCCAAGCAAGTGGAGGGTATTCCATCAGACTCCTGACTTGTGCATTGTAGATGGTGGCCAGGCTCTGGGGAGTCAAGAAGTGAGTTATTTGCTGCAGTATTCCTAGCCTAGACCTCTCTTGTAGCAACTGTGTTTAGCTGCTCTTGTATAGCTAGTCCAGCTCTGTTTATGGTCAATGATAAGCCCCCAGGATGTCGATTGTGGGGATTTAGTGATGGTAACACCATTGAATGAAAAGGGGCAGTGGTTAGATTATCTCTTACTGGAGATGGTCATTGAACATTGTCTGCTTCAGTATCTGAGAGTTGCAAACAGTGCTGAACGTTGTGCAAACATTGGCGAACATCCTGACTTTCGATCTTATGATAGAGGGAAGATCGTTCATGCAGCAGCTGAAGATGGTCGGACCTGAGACATTACCTTGAGGAACTCCTGCAGAGATGTCTTGGGACTGAGATGATGGGCCTCCAACAACCACAACCATCTTCCCATGTATCAGGTATGACTCTAACCAATACAATTAAGCGTTACGACCCCAATGTTCTTACTTAGTACCTGCCATATAATCTTCATGGAAAAGCAAAAAAAAAGGGAAAATTAAACTTTTCAATTCAGGAAGGCAGGTGGATTTGAGAAATGTCAGCTCAAGGTGGGGATAGCCACTTGTGTGTATGGAAATAGTGTAGGGTGTCCCAGCAGCTCAGGGAGTGCAGCAGTTTAAGAAGACCACTGACTAGCACCTTTTCCAGGGAAAATCAGGGATAGGGAATAAATGCTGGCCTAATCAGCAACCCCCACATCCCATGAATGATAAACAAAACCTCTTCCCTACCTCTCATTCCTACAGCTGAGATTTAATAAGCTGACATCATATTTTAAAAGAGATACTAAATGCATCCACAATCTCTTCCACAACTGTTAGGGAACATGTTCCCAATTTCCAATTTTCTTAAATCGCACACTCCACTTTCTATTACATTCATCACCCTTTTGTAAAAAAAAACTAAACCTTTGCTATATCTCTGGCAAGAACAGAAGATTTTTTTTATTCTTATCTTCAGAAGTGCATAAGCAACTAATCTCTCAGATGCCCATCTAGTAATGTTAAAACAAGATTACTTGTGGAGAGCTTCAGTCATATGTATCCTGGGACTCGTTGCAGATAACAGCATTTATGCTTCAATATTTCAATTCCTGTCCACTGGCAAGATTGTCGGTCAACTTGCTTGCTGGATGTACAAAGTTGCTGCCTGCTGGGTTTGTTTTGTCAGTCCATCATAAACCTGGGTCCTTTAATTACCAACCCTCCTTCCGCTGAAAAAGAGTTTCCTTATTCGCTTAATCAATGCCCTTTATGATTTTGAACATCACTAGTAAACCTACACTTAACTTGCCCTGTTCTCAGGAGAATACCTCTAGTCTTTTTTTTGCCTCTTTACCTAAGGAAGAATATAGTTGCCGTAGATGAAGTGCAACAAAGGTGGATCAGAGTGATTCCTGGAACGGCAGGCTTATCCAATGAGAAGAGATTGAGGGGTTTGGGACTGCATTCTCTAGAGTTTACAGGATTGATAGTTGACTTCATTGAAAATTATGAAAGTCTTACAGGGCTCTACAGGGTAGGATATTTTCCCTAACTGTGGGACCGAGAGGTAGAACCAGGGCCACTGCCTCAGGTTAAAGGGTAGGCCATTTATGACAAGAATAAGGAGGAATTTCTTCACTCAGAGGATGGTGAGCTTTTTGGAGTCTCTACCCAATGGTTGTTGGGGCCATCATTGAACATGTTCAAGACAGAGATCAATGGGTTTCTAGGTATTAAAAAACATCAAGGGATATGGATATAGTGTGGAGAAATGGCATCAAGGCAGAAGATCAGCCATGATTTCATTAAATGACAGATCAGGCACGAGGGGTCGAATGGCCAATTCCAGCTCCTATTTCCTATGTCCATATATTCATCACTTAATTGAAGTTCCACATTGGTGGTACCATATGGCTATAGGAATTTATCGTGTGAAACGTTCACCGATTGTTCACACAGCTACAAGACTTTTGAGATAGATGATCAATAATAATTATGAGCAATAAAGCCTAAGTCGAAAATAAATAGAAGTTTTGAAATTACAGTGCAGGTTTTTGCAAAATCAGAGAGCAAGTCAAAATCAACAGCTGCATTTTCCAAGAAAAAGCTCACATCTGGCCTCTGACCATTGGTGAGGTCCAATTCATCTAGAACTAATCCAGTTGGTCTTGAAACTCTTGATGGATTTGGATCTTTCATGTTTACAACTGTTGACCGAGTAGCCAGGCTCCAGAAGTAGTTGCATATGTGCGGTCTGCACCCATTGAGGCAGTGGCATTGCTTTCCATATTGTGGTCACAGGCCATATTGGAGGCATCTGCAGGCTACATATGGCCCATGGGTTGTACTTAACGTCTTCTCCCCATTTACTTTCTATCACAGTTAAACCAGTCACAACCAGGATTTTGTCTGTCTTTGAACACTTGCCGAGAATCTGCAACT